ATTGATAATATATTTGACAAGTAGATCGTGATTATCTATTGACCTACTTATTCTTTCAAATTGAAATTAATTACCCGCCCCTTCGATAATGCTTCGCGGAGTACACAGTGCTCTAGATCTTAGGAGATATGACTGCCTTATCCATGGATGAAAAAGTAATAAACCTAGACTATAGGTCGTACCCAAAACCTGGCAAGTCCGGTATACGATTCTTAAGTACATCAATCTTTGCATGTAATTCATCCTGCTTTTTTCTGTTGTAATTCTCTCTACTTTTATATTTGCCTATATGTTTATTGCATGCATTATATTTAGACCTATTTGGCTTGCCACAATCTCTACAAGGAGTATATACTGGAGATTTACGATGGATATAACATTTTTCTGATTTACTATTTCCACCACAGATTTCTCCAGTTTTACGAATTTGTGAGCAATGGAATATCATCATAAGTATATATAATAAACTTCAATCAAATTTTTGGAATAATTAATTTTATTTTAAAGATTTATCTATCGATAATATAGTTTCAAAATAATACTACATATATTATTACAATACTTTTTGTCAGATCAAACGACGCGCATATACAAATAACACATATACAAATCAATTAATGAGTTTGTCTAGTGAAGCAAAAAAACGTCTTCGTGAATCATTACAACAACAGTGCTTAAATCAAAAGTCAGCCGAATATGAGGAGGCAAAAAAGCTTCTCACAGGTTTAACGAATCTTGATTATAAACCTGGCCATGGAAAATATACGTACCATAAATATTGGCTTAAATCCGATGGAAATGATACTGCACTTTTGGAAGTATACAAACCTGAAGAGCTTTATTCCCAATATATAATTCGAGTGGCAGAAAAGGGTTTCACTATAGTTGATCATCCATCCAAAGTTTACGGGTTACCCGATGCCCACGAGTGTATTGATGGAAGTCTGGCTCTTCGCCTAGTTCTGGACATCGATGCGAGGCAATACCCCGACCCCATAAATCCCGAACTCCCTTCCTTAGATAGATATAAAATTTCTCGTGAAGATTTATTATCCAGGATCTTAATTGCCTGTGCCGATATTATATATACCGATTTAAAACACCACATAACTTTAAATGATTTTGCCTTAGCTAGTTCGTCTAATGCCAATAAATGTAGCTGGCATATTGTATATCCCCATGCCTGTTTTATTGACTATAGAGATCTTAAGGGTTTTGTGGAAAAAGTTGCTAATAGGATTGGAAAGCCATACTCAGAATTTATTGATATAGGACTCTATAAATCTCGCTTCAGTCTTCGTCTTCTTGGGTCGGCAAAGGGTGATAGAATTAAAAGACCTACAATTTCTTCAGTTAAGAAAGGATATCGTAAGCTAGAAGATTATCTAGTTCAACCTAGGTTTGATATTTCTGAAATCTGGCCACGAACCTTCTCTCCAGAGGAGCCAGTAAAACAAGAATTCCAACCCATCGATGATGAAAATGCTTTGGTGAATGGGGCTAATATGGTTATTGAAAAATATGGGTGGCTCCAGATTGGAAGAACTGAGAAAGGATTCGTTAACTTTCAAGCACAATCCGTTAAAGAATGCCCTATATGTGACGTTAAACATGATAAGGATCAACTCTATGGATTCATTCGAAAAAATGGGCGTTTTATACTTAAGTGCTATCGACAAAAACAATATAAGCCAGATCATAAGGGATTAAGCTTTGAAAAGGTATCAGATAAAGTCGAATTGAAAGAAAAGCCTAAGTGGGGATTAATTGAAAGATTACCCAAGGCTGTATCAACTCCACGCCCACTTGTAGAATTATCTGGAAAAATCATTAATGTAAAGGAAATGAAAGATGCACCAGAAGCTTACCCTGATTTCTTAAGCGAGGAACTCACTACAACTCTTATTCGCTCACCTGTTGCTAGTGGCAAAACAAAAACATTAAGAGAAATCCTCGATTCTTTAGCTAAAAGTGGAGTGGATTTACCTTGTTTTAACTGGGTTTCATATCGTAAAACTCTTAGTAATGAAACTAAAAGTAAAATCGAAGTATTACAGAAATCCGGGCTTCGTGTGTGCCATTATCAGGAAAATGAAGGCAATTTAGCTATACGTGACTGGGATGTTATTATTGTTCAGGTCGAAAGTACACATCGTCTTAATTTCCATGGGGGTCGTTCTCATGTAGTTATTTTAGATGAAGCGAATGGTATTATGCGTCAAATGGCAAGTGGAATCCATGCACGAGAATCTGAAAATGCCATGCGGGATTTGTTAAAGTCGGCTGTTCACGTGGTTGCCATGGATGCTTTTGCAAATGAGTCGACTTTAGCCTTCTTAAGACAATACCGAGGTGAAAACATCCAAGTTTTCGATAATAAGTATCAGCCACGTAAAAGTGAGACCGTAAAAATCCTTTATGATTCAAATAAAGGTTCAGAAGCTATACGTAAAGGTCTTGAGATGCTTAAAGAAGGTAAGCGTGTTGTCTTTTCAATGACCTCCTGCAAAAAGGCTCGGGCAATAGCTAATCAAGCATCTAAGTTGCAAAAACCAGACGGTTCATGCGTTTTATCACGAGTTTATTTTAGTCAAATGGATGAAAAACAACGCCAGGATGACTTTGCTGATATTAATGCTACCTGGAGTGGCCTTGATTGTGTAATCTATACAAGTACTGTGGAGTCAGGCATCTCGTTCGAAATTCCTAACTATTTTGATGCAGTTATAGCAATTAGTAATATTAATACAGGAGTACACGCTGAAGCATTTACTCAGATGCTTTATCGAACTCGCGATTGCCCGTATCGTATTGTTTCTCTTTACAATAGTAAAACACATTCTGAGATTTTTAAAGAACCAAATCGTGACCTTATTCGTGCAGAACTTTCGGCCTTAAGACCTGGAGATTTACCAACTGCAATAAAGGGGCGCCGTGAATGGAACAAAATCGCTGACTGTTATATACTTGATTCATCTCCGGCAGTAGAAACCTATATTGAGGTTGAATATCAGAGACGCTTATCTGCCAAATATTTTCCGGAAATTCTTTGTAGTTTGATTGCTAGTACTGGAGCATCGCTAGAATTAATCACAGTAGAAGATACCAAATTAGCCAAAGCTTCTCGTACAGAAGTATTTCATACTATTAAGAATACTGAAGAAAGGATCAAAAGTTCTGATGCAGAATTAATAGTCAATGCTCCAGATATCAATCCTAATGAAGCTGAAATGCTTAAGCTAAATCCTGAACGTTCTTTTGCTGATAACATGACCCTGCAACGACATTATTTATGGAGAACATATGCTTCAGGCGATATTGGAGGTAAGGATGATATTCGAAACTGGGGTATGAATAATGATGATTGGATCAAACTTTGTGATATAGATTTCGTGAAAAGATATAATAATCCTGAACCTTTACAACATTTTAGGAGGCTGGCATATTATCGAAGACAAGGTTCAGATGAAGTAAAGGCTTTGGAAAATCTGAAAATCAAAGAAGCAATGCAATGGGAAGAATCACAAGATTCTATGAATCCGGCCTCAAACGATTTACATAAATTTTATTCAGTAAAACAATGGGAGGCAGTACGAGATCTTTTCCAATCAATAGGATTTAGCGGTATTGATGATACAAAGATTCTTTCTGGCGATGATGTGGCAAAGGCTTTTGAGCAATCATGTGAAGAAGTTGTCAAAATTCGAGAAGATGCACGATTACTCTTTGGCTTTAAGACCAGAGCTAAAGGAACGCCCGATCTCAATGCTACAATAAAGTTTATTAATGCAATAGCTGGAAATTGGTGTGGATATACTGTCAAAAGTGATGAAACTCGTGTAGGTTCCAAGGGGCATCAAGTACGGAAGCGCACTTATTGGATTGATCATAAAGCATATGATGGATGTGGTTTTGAAACTCTAGAAGAAATAAGGGCTATAAAGGTTAATAATTCTAAATATCTCCCTATAGCTCCAATTATTCCACCATACAAACCAGAACCGATTGATGAAACTCAAAAACTTTTTGATTCAATACCAACTACTGATATTACCACTTCAGAGGAAGCAAAGCTTCGATGTTCTACATCATCCATTAATGAGGTTTGTAAAGAAAGTTCTTGCCATAATGTAATTGAGGAATCCATGACAAATTTACTTCAATCGCCTTCTACGATATCAACTCAAGATCAATTAAATGATTTCGAGCAATTCTCAAGTATTACTGAAACTAAGAAAGAGATACTTGAACCCTTAATCACGAAGCGTCTGCCTCCAGAAATTTCTTTATCTTCAGAATATCTCATCAAAAACGAATCTGATATAGATATCCTTATCCTTCTTTTACAACAAAAATATCAAATGTCTCAAGAAAAATTAGATCAATGGAGAAGAAAGATTACCTTTGAATTTCGGGATAATACCAGTTACTGGAAAAAAGAGCGCGAAAGCATGAATGAAATTGATTTTCTAGAACATAAACGAAATTTTGAGGCTAAAATGAAGGTCCCTACTACTCCGCATAAAAAAGAACTGAAAAATAAATCTCTAGCAATCATTGAATATGCATAATCGTTATAAATCTTTTAATAAAGCAAGCCTAAGGTACTAAGACAATATCATCTAGTTAAGTAGTAATTTCTGAAGAAGAGAGATTGCTACATTCGACTAGATATATATCTCAGGTAAGGGTTTTTGTCGCCTCTTACAATAAGCATTTAGAAAAATTTAAATCAAAAATTAATACTTCGATAGCTAGATCATATATGAGGGTTTTTGTGTCGGGAAATTTCCATCAAGGTACGCTTCCAGGTAAGAGATCGTGTTACAAAATAAAATGCATATATAAGGTATGTAATAGATGACCATTTTTGTGTCGCGTAATTTTGATCAAGGTAAAATTATGCTTTGGACGTTTATCAGATATATACAAAATAAATTTACGCTTTGGACGTCTACCAAATATATACAAAATAAAGTTATACTTTGGACGTCTACCAGATATATATAAATAAAATTATGCTTTGGACGTTTATCAGTATAAAGATATCAACTACACGAGAAAAGATTCTAGAGATTTAAAACATAGCGTATTTTCGATAGCCGGCCAAAGTAAAATTATTACAGATATATATTATAAAAAATTATGCTTTGGACGTCTATCAAGTGGGTAACAATTCGGCACTATGTGCCTCATTTTTGATCGATATTCGAAAGTATTAACTATGCAAGAAAGATTTCCAGGATCACAAAATATAGTATACTGGCGGTAGTCACCCAAAGTAAAATTATTACAGGTATATATATATTATACAAATTATGCTTTGGGTGTCTACCAAAATGATAACAATTCGGCACTACGTGCCTCATCCTCGAGTAATATAATAGATAACAATTCGGCACTACGTGCCTCATCATCGGATACTTTGATATATTACCAGATATGTTAACAATTCGGCACTACGTGCTTCATCCTCGGGTTACCAAATAGGATAACGATTTGGCACTACGTGCCTCATTCTAAGATAACATAATAGATAACGATTCGGCACTACGTGCCTCATCCTCGCGTTTCCAAATAGGATAACGATTCGGCACTACGTGCCTGGTTCGGGCATAGATATGGTATTTTCCAAGAGTGGTACTTATAGGCGACCGTCTACACATGTTGATGATGATCATGAATGTTACATGGCGGAGACTGAAATCACGGAGACCGATTTTTTCGATCAATCGTCATTTAAATGACGTCGAATTTGTGGATCAATCGTCATCCAAACGACAACGAATTCGTGGGTCAAATCATAACCCAAATGACGACGAATTCGTGAATATCAAGCCAAAACGGGTACCCAAAAATACTTAGGTAACAGTCTAATCGTAAGTAGGTAACAGTCTAATCATAAGTAGGTAACAGTCTAATCATAAGTAGGTAACAGTCTAATCATAAGTAGGTAACAGTCTAATCATAAGTAGGTAACAGTCTAATCATAAGTAGGTAACAGTCTAATCATAAGTAGGTAACAGTCTAATCATAAGTAGGTAA